GAAATTATTATTTTTTGATTGAAGATGCTTTTTGTTTGATTGAATAATAAAAACACAAATTTACCTCCATAGTTTCTCCTATTTGAACGATGAAAGACGACTTCCAGCTTCCTTAAAGTTGAAGCTGTCAGACTATGAACGGGTCTAGTAGGAGATGATGATACTGAGATTAAATCAACTTTATTAAACATTTAAGTAAAATAACCTCAAAAACAGCTGGATGAATAAAACAAACATGAAACACAGAAAAAAATTACAAAACCTTAAAAAATAATGTCAGAAACTGGTTCTTGAATAAGCTGCTTGTTTGTGGAAACCAGTTTCTGCTCAGTGAGAAGATAACTGAGGCACGCAGGCTGGATGTACCTGGTTACTGTTGCCAAGCAATAATCGAAGCGATGCCGCGATGGGGTGGGCGGAGCTTGTGGAAGCGCCGGACAGAATGCAGATCGTGAAGCCGTCGGGCGGCGAGCGTCGTAAAGCTGCAGGAGTGGTTTTGTGTTTGTGTGTCGCGTGGAGAGCCTCCTCTCTGAATTCAATTAGAAAGCTCTCAGATCCACCGCCGCGGAGCATGTTCCTGATGATCTGCTGCTTCAACCGAGCAGTTTGATCTTTGTGTGGCTGCACTGTGTGCACACAAACACACACACAAACACACACATGCCGCTCCTTGAAGAACTCATTAAAATATGGTACAAACTCTGCCCACTATCCAGGTACACCAAGTCCTCACTGCTTTGATTAAACATTTTCCAGCTTCATGGATAATTTTTTTTTGAAGAACACTAATAAAACTGTTAAGGAACTTTATGATTGAACAGTGATTATATTTATATCAAGTTATTTTCTGCCTATAAATGTTTGTTTTCACTGCAGTGTGAAAAAAACATTTTTATGGGGAAGTAATAACACTTTTCAGGTTCTTAGTTCAATATGTTTTCTGTGAAAGTGTGAAATGAAACTTTTACAGCTGTAAAATCTCAGATATTTATTATTTAAAGTCGGTGCAGTGACTGAAGCCACCAGCAGAGGGCGACACTTTAAGTTTTATCTGAAGATACCAGTTCTCCTCTGTGGAGGACAGAAACTGACATAATTAGAAATAAAARCAGAAATACATAAATGGAGCAATAAATAAATAAAATAAATAAACTTAAAATGCACCAATTAAATTAAAAAAGAACTTTACCTCCATGTTTTATAATTTAACTGACCTTTATATTTATTTTTCCAGCTTAGTTCCAGCACATAATATATTTTACCACATAATTTAAATGTTATTGATAAAAAATATATATATATAGTTTTTCTTTTTACTTGTACATGTATTTGTGTCTCTTAAATTATTATATTTAATGATTTTTTTTATAATTTTCCCCAGAAGTCTTTTTATTTCCAAGTTTTGCATTTACCTGTCTCCTGTTTGTACCAAATGCATTTCTGCCTCATTATGCAAATAACGTGGGTGGGGCTAATTAGGTCAGCTCCTCTCCTATTGGTCAACAGACAGGAAGTAGCAGGATCCATGTGCAGATCGACTGTGCTGCTGCTGCCTCGGTTTAGCTTAAAGTTTAAAATTGAGTTTAAAACAAAGTTGCATGTAAGTGTTTTCCTCCTTGCCTTTTTAATTTAAACTTCACTAAGTAAAAGGAAAAATAAACAAAGATATATATTTATTTTTAAAAACAGTAAACTGTAAATTATGTTCTAAAATAAATAATTTATTGGAACTAAGCTGGAAAAATAAATATGTAGATCAATTAAATTATATATTATTGCTCCATTTATATATTTTTGTTTTTATTTTAAATTATCAGTTTTGGTCCTCCATATTCAGCTTCTTAGTTGAATTTTCTTTTTGTGAAAATGTGAAATGAACCTTTTAAAGATGTAAAATCTCACACTTATTATGTAGTTTCAGTGACATGACTGGAGCCACCAGCAGAGGGCGCTGTTCTCCAGTTTTCAATCAGAAGGCACCAGTTCTCACATTTCTTTGGACTTTTCTGTTAATTTCCTCGGTTGTTCGCAGGCGGACCTGAACTACAACGTGCAGGACGACCCCGCGGCGTTCTACGGCGTCACCAGTCAGTACGAGAGCTCAGAGAACATGACCATCACCTGCTCCACGAAGGTCTGCTCCTTCGGCAAGCAGGTGGTCGAAAAGGTGGAGGTGAGGACGAGCGTGATTCCTTTAACGACTTTCTCTGCTCCTAAAACAAAATTATTCCAAGAACAGGCCGTGGGTGGCAACAGGTGGTTTGTTTCTTGAACGCACATTGATTGCAAAATAAACAGCATGTTGTTTATTTCTAATACAAACATAGACAAAATAATAACTAATAATTTATTACAATTTAGACGTAAACAAAAGCTAACTTAATCTCATCCTACACATTCAAAATGTGGTTTGGTTTTGAAATTTTTTTATTTTTTTCAAAATTTACAAAAATTCAACAGATTAATGGAATGAAATTTAATTTTAGGAATAAACTTCATAGTTTCTGCGACAAATTCCTCATAAGACGCTACGTTTTTATTAGATCTACAGTGAGACACTGAAGATGTCCAGATTTGTTACCAAGTCAACCAGAAACTTTTCTGTTTCTGAGCTTTAACCTCCTCCTCTCCTCTCTAACAGACGGAGTACGCGAGGTTTGAAAACGGACGTTTTGTCTACAGAATCAGCCGCTCACCCATGTGTGAATACATGATCAACTTCATCCACAAACTCAAACATTTGCCTGAGAAGTACATGATGAACAGCGTGTTGGAGAACTTCACTATTCTGCTGGTTCGTCAGTCTGAGTCTGCATGAAACGATGCTGCTTTAAGTTTTTTACTGTAGCTGTTTTAACCCGGGCGTGTGTGTTATTGTGTGTTTGTGTGTGCAGGTGGTGAGCAACAGAGACACTCAGGAGACGTTGCTGTGTATGGCATGTGTGTTCGAGGTGTCCAACAACGACCACGGAGCGCAGCACCACATCTACCGGCTCGTCAAGGAATAACGCACACACCCGCCCTTAGAAACACACAAATATGGCCTTTGCTTAGTTACAACTGGTAACGCTGCAAGACAACAATAGTTCTGTGCAAAAAAACAAAGAAGTCCTGAAATTTACCAAAACTTCAGCTGGTGCAGAAAGGACGTGGCTGCATTCTTAAACAGATGATAACCTAACGCTCCGAGGGGAGTGTCAAACACAAAAATATCAACAATCAGAAACTGGTTAGCTGTAAAAGAAAAGACGTCACGTCTCACGTAAATTTCTTCAACTTGAATTACATTTATACGGAGGACCGAAACGGATGTAATTAGAAATGAAAGCAGAAATATATAAATGGATCAACAAATAAAAAATACACCTAAAATGCATTAATTAAATAAAAAAAGAGAACTTTACCTCAATATTTGTAATTTATTGAAACTTAATATTTATTTTTCCTGCTTAGTTGCAAAAAATTTAATATTTTAGAACATAATTTACATTTTACTGTTTTTAAAAAGATATATTTTTCTTTTTATTTCACCTTATGCGTTTCTGTCTCATTACGCAAATAATGTGGGCGGAGCTTCTTGAGTCAGCTCCTCTCCTATTGGTCATCAGAAAAAACAAAGACAAGGTGGAAAACACTTACCTGTGTCTAAACTTTAATCTAAACCGAGGCAGCAGCAGCACGGTAGATCTGCACATGAATCCTGCTACTTCCTGTCTGTTGACCAATAGGAGAAGAGCTGACCCAAGAAGCCCCGCCCACATTATTTGCGTAATGAGGCAGAAATGCATTAAGGTAAAGTAAAAACAAGAGACAGAGAAATGTAAAAGCAACACATGGAAATAAAGACTTGTGGGAAAAATTATAAACATATGCATGTACAAGTAAAAGAAAAAAACTATATATATATGTTTTTTAAACAGTAAAATGTAAATTATGTGCTAATATATATAATTTATTAGAACTAAACTGGATAAATAAATATGAAGGTGAAACAAATTATAAAACATGAGGTAAAGTTCTCCCGTTTTAATTGAATCAGTGCATTTTAAGTGTTTTCATTTATTTATTGGTCCATTTTTGTATTTCTGCTTTTATTTCTAATTATGTCAGTGTCGGTCTTCCGTACAAATCCACCCAGGATAAAAGCATCAGTTGAAGGTCAGACCCTGTGTTTCATCAATAACCAGAGAAGGTTGGAGGATTATTCTACAGCTGATTTGTACAGAGAAACACCGTCAACCAGTTTGTCCCAAAGAATAATTCAATTTTTAACCTTTTGTATGTTTTCTCTAAAAAAAAAAACAACTTAATATTAACTTTAAGAAACTGTTTATTGATCGTAGCAAATAAATTCTATTTTAATTCCACGATCTTAAAGTTTTACGTTAATAAGAAACTATAAGTAAAAACTTCAGGTACCTTTTCTGTGCGAACGGTGACTTTTCATCCAAATTACACTGAAAATTATAATCCTTCAGATTGCAGGCCTCACATGACGGAGAGAGGAAACTAAGATCTGAGGATTATAATCCAAACCTTCTGTTGTGAGTCCTTTTTAAAGCACTGTGAACTTATAGACACTACTCAACATTACTGGTGGCGTCCAACACATTAACGTTTCTTTTAATAAGTTGGTTAAAGTTTATTTAAAGCCTCTCTGTCCGACCCGAAGCCTCGGCACCTGGTTTGTCAGGATCTTCATTCAAACTGTTTTTTTTTTCACTTTCTAAACTGACGTTATGATTTCTGAATCAGAAACCAAAAAAGCGTTGGCGTGTGCTGTAGCAGGTGTGCTGGTTGGTCCGTGTCGTGAAGTGCCTTCGGCTGCAGACGTTTCAGTTCTGATGAGTCCGTGTTGTGGACGCTGTGCAGCTGAACAATAATGGTTTGTTCTTTCAGTTTCTCCACGGTTGAATATTTACTGAGTGTTATTTGTGTTGAGAGTGAAGCACCCGATCATCCCGACACGTTTAAAGAGGTCAGCGGCACATTTCTTCTTCTTCTGTTGGTAAATAATGTCGGTGTTTGTGTTTCCACGTGTTTCACTTCAGGTTTTCTGGTACCTCAGTCAAAAACTGCAGCTGTGTGCGAGTCTGTCCATCAAATCCTCATCTGTGCTCCTGATTACAGGCTGAGAGATAAAAACAAAGTTTGTCCTTTTAAAAATAATTTCTGACAGCAGAGAGATCAATACACAAAATAAAATCCACAGAACTGTGTAGTGCTGTACCAAACGATTATTTTCCAATCGATTAATCGATTATTCTAACAGCAAATCTATAAGTTATTCTGATGTGAGTGCACTGGATATTTAAAATGTTTTCATCAAATTAACAAGAACAGTTCTTTAATATTGTAATATTTTCTGTAATAGTTTTTTCATGAACACAAAATATGCACTCTAGAGTCAATTCTTTAACAAAAAAAAAGCTTAAAGCGGGGGGCAAGAGTAAGTCGTGTGTCGCGTGGGCTCCTGCTCCGACTTGTTCTGTTTGTGGTTCTATACTAAATG